CTGAGAAAGCAGATTTAGTAAGCGATAATACACTCCACAGAACATGGGAGTGGGGTAACTCTGAGCGGAAGTTGACCTCAGAGGCCAGAGGGATTCTGTTCTTATAGGGCAGATATTTCCTGGCTAGTTTCGGTGGGGTTTCATTGCGCATGTACAAATAGTTGCATTACTTTAAAGCTATTGCGCATGTGCTCTCCCATGATTTTCCTTGACTGGCCACTGGAGAAGGGGGTTGCTCAATGTTAATGTATTATAATGCTATTATAACAAAGCAGGGGTCATGTAGCATCTTCTGTGCAGATGCATTCATGAGTCATCATAATTCAGTGCTTTTCCAGAAAGCACGAACAACCCGTCTTAGAACAGGGTCTCTGTCCTGTATGGATGTCCTTTATCTCAGCCCTGGGGCACCTCCAGAGTTTCCTCCTTCCTGACTATCTCCTGCCTCAGAGTTATACAAATGACACTTACAAAGAAAAAAACAAAAACAAAATACCAAGACACCCAAGTGAGATGCTTGGCAGAGACAACCCACAGTCAGGGGCATTGGCAGGGGTAGGGCTTGGAGCCAGGGATCAGGGGCTGGGTGGCTTCTCACAGGCTCCTGGCTGACAGTCAGCTTCATCCCATCCCAAGACCCAGAGTCCAGTCAGACAAGGGGCACCGATCCTGCCAGCAGGGGTCAAACCCCTCACAGCCCTGATCCCAGGTGGTCCACTGTCAGGAGGAGGAGGCAGTAGTGGCCATGAGAGGCTGTGCCAAGAGTGCACACCCTCAGGCCCTGAGTCTGGCTGTCAGCCCTGCAGGGCTGGGAGTGGAACCAGAAGTCAGGCCTGGAGTGTCTCCTGCTGCCAGTCCCCCACCACTACTACCTCCCTGTCGCAGCCCCTTCTGACTGTGTTTCCAAGGGGAGCAAATTTCTCCATCCTGAGCTGCTGAGGTCCACTCTGCCTGGTCTCAGGAAGCTGTAACCCCCCATGGCTGAGTGAGAGACCTCCGGACCAGAAGCTACTAAGGAGACAAAAACTTATTTCCCTGGCATGAACACTGCCTGTTGTGTGCCTGGCCTCCTATGCTTGATCAGTTAGCCAATGACGGGTAAGATTTCCCACAGAGGCGGGGGAGGGTGGGGAATCGCCTAAGACAGGCATGATCATGAGGAGGCCTCAGGAGAGAGACTCGGGGCTGTGGAAATGAAGGGGTGACGGACATCAACCCCTGCCCTCTTGGCTTTGTCAAAGCCTGAGTCCTTGTTCTTAGATGTGAGAAATCCAAGTCTCCTGGCTACCTTTGTCTCCTCTGCCCGACTCAGGCCTGTGGAAATAGCAGGGCGGTGCAGTCCAGACCAGAGTCTATGGACCCCCGGAGTAATCAGGCCTGGGGCATAAAATATGCAAGATCCTGTGAGATCTGTTTGCTGGAGGATGTTATTGAATTAGAATATGAAGGCATGGGCAGGAAATCAAAACTAGCCCTTTGGGCCCTGTGGTCCTTTCAAATGATAAAACTCCAAACTTTGCCCAGAATCCCAGCAGGAGTTCTGCCAGCACCTTTGAAAGTTACCTATTCCTTTTGATCTTTTCTGCCAGACTGTAAATCCACAAACTGAGTCTGTATTCTCAATAAAAATCTGCTTGGGTGGAAAGACGGCACGCTCTCCATTAGACAGGGTGGCCATGGTGCTCCCCAGTAGAGAGAGTGGCTGTTCCGTCCCTATTTCCCCACAGGGTCTGGTTGTCTCTGTGTATGTTTTTCTCGTGTTTCAGAGAGCCATCCGCAGCGTTCCGAGATCACTGCAGGCTGGTGGTTGCGTCACTGAGCCAGGCCTGTGCAATCTTAGGTGGAGCCCAGCTGGAATGCCCGACAGCCTCAGGTGAGATTCTGACATCCTCCTGTCACCCTGGGTGCAGAGCTGGGTTTACTTCTCCGGACCACTTAGACGAGAGAGTAGTGTCCTGACGTGCCTTCACATTTCTGTCACTGGGAATCAGGGCACAAACCCCTCCATTCTCTGTCTGTGTCCTGGTGATACGGTCCCCACCCCATGTGGTCTGTGTGTTGTAGCTCTGAGGAACAAATTCACACGGACTACAGAAGTCCCGTGGAGAAAAAGGGATGGCATGGCTGCTCTGCAAGTGAGAGAGAGCACCCCTGACCCCTGCCTGGACAAGTTTGATTGCTTTTCTGGGCACATTACATCAAGGATGCTCCTCATTTACTATGCACAGGTTCACCTTAGGTGATTACCTTTTACAGATAACAAAGGAAAGAAGGTTGCTAGTTACCTCAAAGAGAAGAATGTTGCACATCAAGGGGAAAAGTGGTTGAACCGGTTACACTCCATGCTTGGGAGTTTTAGCACAGATTTTAGGAAGTTAAAGACACCCAGTAAACGTTTGCTGCCTCAATCCAGAGTGAGGGAGTTTTAACAAAAGCAAGCCTCATAACAGCCTAAGTACAATGTAGGCCTGATTCCCACAGGAAAACCTATCCATGGGCGTGGGTCCTGTGTGCCAACCTCACTCCCCACTGGCCTTTCCGAGTAGGGGCTGGGCTGTGTTCCCCATACCACGTGGAGCAGTTCCCTGTATCCTGGCTTCTCTGTCTTGGGAATCAAAGGACACAAACTGTGGCTTCATCCAGAGTGGGGGGGCGCTTCCCAACTGTGACAAGACCCGCAGTAGTGGCCTCCCAGTTCAAAGAAAACTGGCTTCCACCCTCCTCGCTTCCTGTCTCTGGGACTGGACGAGTGTGATGCTGGAAGTGCAGGAGCCCCTCGCTACCTGGAGGACAAAACTCAGGCCCAGGAAGGCAGAGCAGAAAGACAGCTGAACCTGTGTGCCTGGTGCTGCTGCTGGGCTGCCTGGCAGCCGGGCCTCTGGGCCTGGAGTGAGTGCCAGAGCCATAGTGCAGTTGTGCTCTTGATCCATCTTGCTGACATTTCCGGGCAAGTGGCTGAAGGTGTTTCTGCCTCATAGACTTGAGACCATGCAGGTAAAACATGCAGCACACACTGCTCTGTAACCTGGAACTGATAGTTCTTCTTGGTCAGCCAAGACCCCGAGCAGAGATCTGAGCACTTGGCTGGTCTGGCTGCTGTCTGGACAAGCACTGACCACAGGGAGGCCCGCACACCATGGTGGTTGGACCATCACAGGAAAGATGCCTGTGCCCATCCCTGGTGCCACTGTGATGGGAATTTGTGGTTGGAGGCAGAGTCCCTCGTCTGACCCCAGAGCAAGCGTGGCTGGATTTTGTCATGGACTCTGTCCACTTCACTGGTCTCCCCGTTTGGGTCACTTCCCAGGGGTGGTTGCCCTTGCCCTGGGATAGAGGGTTGGTCAGTGTGTCTCAGTGAGGCCCAGAGGGTTCTAATGAGCCACCTGGCTAGGGCCACAGACCCAGGCGACACTGTGGCTCAACACAGTGACACATGAGCCACCAGAGAACATAGTTCACAGGGTGTGTGCTGGCCCCTGCTGGATATGGTGAGACTGGAGACAGGAGGGTGGCTGTTGCTGTCAGTGAGTGTGAGTCCAGCTGTCACTGCAGAACTCAACTTGTCACCTTGGAGGCCGTCACCTTGAGCCCTTGGGCTGTACAGGGGCACGCTCGGCAGACAGACACATGGTACTCCACCCTGGGGATCAGAGGCAGGTTTGGCTCATCCACCCAGGGCCGCCCAGAGAGCAGATGAGCCCCTGAGGCACCCACCTAGAAGAACCATGCTCTCCATTAAACAAGCAGCTTCTGGGCAAGGGTAAGAGGCTCAGAATCCACCAAATGTCAGGCTGCAGTCACTTCTCAGAGCCTGCACTTCAAAACAAGGATGGTGGCTGGCAGCCACTGCCAAGTGGGCAAGGAGGGTGTGTGTAAACACCCAGCTCCCTGCACAAGGTGGTCTGAGATTGTGTGAACTGTACAAGCAAGGCTGAGACAGGTTTCTGTTTCTGACTTAGCTTTGAGAGCCACAGACCATTTTCACAGCACTGATCAGCTCGGTTGTGTGGCGGGACTGTCTGTACAAGGGCAGGGATGACAGCATGTGCATTTGGGGGACACCTTGGAGGCTGGCAGCTACAGCAGGAATGTGGTTTGCTGCTGAAGGGGAGGGGGAGGGAACAGACCTCTCTACTCACTTTGAATCCCCAAGCCTTCTGGGAGAGCTCCAGGGTCTCTCCTGGTGGGAGGGGGATGGTGAGCATCAGGTGGCAGTCTGTGGGTTCCCCTCCCCACTGTATTCAATGCCAGCCCCTCTGTGAGCACTACACCAGGACTCTGCCCCTCTCCCATGGCCCATGCTGAAAGCCACAGAATATTGATAGGGGACTCAAGACTTGGAAAATTTTAGCTTAAGGTAAAAAACCATAAGTCTAGCAAGTCATGTGTATGTTAAGTTTTTTGTTTCAGAAACTACAGATAAGGCCCATCCTGGCTCCTGGGGGAAAAGCAGCCAACCTTCCGGGGCACTGGTTAGAGATTACTAACTGCCTGGGGACATCCCAACCTTTGTTCCAGGAAGAAGCAGGCGACTAACTACACCTCCCCCTTGGAGACAGCTAACTGCCCAGGACAGGCATGTTGCAGCTTATGAATCGAAAAGCCCTCACACCTTGTGTGTCCTCCCCCACCCCCCTTATAAAAGATCTGGCCAGAAAAGAAAGGGAAAGATGGAAGATGGTTTGTTAGGGTATGAACCCGCCATCTTCTCGGATCACAGGCCATCTGAATAAAGCGCCCATAGAAGATCCAATCCTTGTCATTGCTTATTGGGTTTGGTAGTGACAGGCAGCCTGAACGCCGGTGTCTTTTCCAGTTACAGGTTCCCCTTCCCACTGTATTCAATGCCAGCCCCACTGCCAGCATTACACCAGGACTCTGCCCCTCTCCCATGGTCCATGCCGAAAGCCACAGAATATTGAGTTTATGGTGTTCTATCCGGGCTGTGCTGGTGGGGGAGAAACAGGGAAGGGAAACAAAACTCAAGAAAGACACCTTCCTTTAAAAAAGCCTAAAAGGAAATAATAGTGGGTATTTATTATTGAAATCAACATCGTTTATGTAGACACCCTTCTTCACAAGCCTGGCTCCTCCCCTGGGTGTGTCCTCTGGTGTCTGATGAGATATGACTTCCGTGTAAAGCCTCGCCCACACTCCCTGCAGACATAGGGCTTCTCCCCTGAGTGTGTCCTCTGGTGTGTAATGAGATATGACTTCCGTGTAAAGCCTCGCCCACACTCCCTGCAAACATAGGGCTTCTCCCCTGAGTGTGTCCTCTGGTGTCTGATGAGATGTGACTTCCGTGTAAAGCCTCGGCCACACTCCCTGCAAACATAGGGCTTCTCTCCCGAGTGTGTCCTCTGGTGTGGAATGAGCTGTGACTTCTGTGTAAAGCTTCTCCCACACTCCCGGCAAACATAGGGCTTCTCCCCAGAGTGTGTCCTCTGGTGTCTGATGAGATGTGACTTCCAGGTAAAGGCTTGTCCACACTCCCTGCAAACATAGGGCTTCTCCCCTGAGTGTGTCCTCTGGTGTGGAATGAGATATGACTTCCGTGTAAAGCCTCTCCCACACTCCCTGCAAACATAGGGCTTCTCTCCCAAGTGTGTCCTCTGGTGTGGAATGAGCTGTGACTTCCGTATAAAGTCTTGCCCACACTCCCGGCAAACATAGGGCTTCTCTCCCGAGTGTGTCCTCTGGTGTCTGATGAGATCTGACCTCCAGGTAAAGGCTCGTCCACACTCCCTGCAAACATAGGGCTTCTCTCCCGAGTGTGTCCTCTGGTGTGTGATGAGAAGTGACTTCCAGGTAAAGCCTCTCCCACACTCCCTGCAAACATAGGGCTTCTCCCCTGAGTGTGTCCTCTGGTGTGTGATGAGATGTGACCACTGTGTAAAGCCTCTCCCACACTCCCTGCAAACATAGGGCTTCTCCCCCGAGTGTGTCCTCTGGTGTATGATGAGATATGACTTCCGTGTAAAGCCTCGCCCACACTCCCTGCAAACATAGGGCTTCTCCCCTGAGTGTGTCCTCTGGTGTGTAATGAGATGTGACTTCCATGTAAAGCCTTGCCCACACTCCCTGCAAACATAGGGTTGCTCTCCCGAGTGTGTCCTCTGGTGTGTGATGAGATGTGACTTCCAGGTAAAGGCTTGTCCACACTCCCTGCAAACATAGGGCTTCTCCCCTGAGTGTGTCCTCTGGTGTGTGATGAGAACTGACTTCCAGGTAAAGGCTCGTCCACACTCCCTGCAAACATAGGGCTTCTCCCCTGAGTGTGTCCTCTGGTGTGGAATGAGATATGACTTACGTGTAAAGCCTCTCCCACACTCCCTGCAAACATAGGGCTTCTCCCCTGAGTGTGTCCTCTGGTGTGGAATGAGCTGTGACTTCTGTGTAAAGCCTCTCCCACACTCCCTGCAAACATAGGGCTTCTCCCCTGAGTGTGTCCTCTGGTGTGTGATGAGATGTGACTTGCAGGTAAAGGCTCGTCCACACTCCCTGCAAACATAGGGCTTCTCCCCTGAGTGTGTCCTCTGGTGTGTGATGAGATGTGACTTCCAGGTAAAGCCTCTCCCACACTCCCTGCAAACATAGGGCTTCTCCCCTGAGTGTGTCCTCTGGTGTGTGATGAGATGTGACTTCCAGGTAAAGGCTCGTCCACACTCCCTGCAAACATAGGGCTTCTCTCCTGAGTGTGTTCTCTGGTGTGGAATGAGATATGACTTCCGTGTAAAGCCTCTCCCACACTCCCTGCAAACATAGGGCTTCTCCCCTGAGTGTGTCCTCTGGTGTGGAATGAGATATGACTTCTGTGTAAAGCCTCGCCCACACTCCCTGCAAATATAGGGCTTCTCCCCTGAGTGTGTCCTCTGGTGTCTAAGGAGATTTGACTTCCATGTAAAGCCTCTCCCACACTCCCTGCAAACATAGGGCTTCTCCCCAGAGTGTGTCCTCTGGTGTGTGATGAGATGTGACCCATCACTGAAGCCTTGCCAACACCCTCCGTGCTCCATTGTTACAATTTTTGACATTCCTACTTTCACAAATACCTTGCCTGTGTCCTCTGGACTCTGTTTGTGGCCTCTGCGGGGCTCTTCCTCCATCATTCTCTCATGCTCACTAGAGCTCCTCATTCGTTCTTTGGAAGTTTGGAAAAAGGGCCTTAAGATTCTCCTCTGACTGACCCTTTTAAGCAAAGGTTTGGACCTTTCTCTGACCTCCTGACCTTCAGCTTTATCCTTCCAGCTGTGTGTACTAGTATGTTGTTGCTGCTGATTCTGATCCTCTGGACAGGGTTCCTCTGCTTGGAGGTGTTTTCTTGCAGATGTTCCAGGGAGAATCTGAGAGGGATGATTGACTTTCACGTGTCGGCTGAGGAACTTCTGACTGGAGAAGGCCAGAGAGCAGGAGGGACATGGGTGCACCTCTGGCTTTGGTTCTGCTGAAAGAGAAAGGTTTGGTCAGGACAGGTGTTGGTGAGAATGCCTGGGCTGCACAACTTGTCTCCTGGTAAGACCTGCCCCATGAATCCTTCTTACTGCGGTGACAACGCAAACTCTGTCTCCCGCAAAGTGTCCACTCATAGTCTATCTTTTTATTTTCATGCAGTGCACCTTCTTCAGAAATCCAGAAAGCCCACATCAAGGTCTTTGCTAATATTGCTCAGACTAAGGACTTTTGAGTAGCAGGAGAGGCAATTCCACTCCCTGAACTGCAGTGACCTTTCCCAACTATGGGTATCCTCTACGTTATGTTAAAGAAGAAAACTAGGAATTGCTTCTCTTTCAGTTTTTCACAACTATAAAATAATATGTCTTTCCTGCCCTTGCTTGTGTGGCTCAGTGGACTGAGTGCCTGCCTGTGGAGCGAGGACTCACAGGCCAGATTCCCAGTCAGGGCACGTTACTGGGTTGTGGGTCAGGTCCCCAGGAGGGGGCGTGTGAGAGGCAACCACGCATTGATGTTTCCCTGTCTTCCTTCCTCTTCCTCTCTAAAAGTAAATAAATAAAATCTTAGAAAGACTCATTCCTCAAGCTTCCCACCAAATATTTATGCTTCATTTCATTCAGTGTTAGTCCATTTCAAATACACTGAGAAGTCCCGTTTCAAAATATTTTTCCAACCACATGTATTACACGCTTGACTCTGACTCCGGTTTCTCTCTGAACAATCCACCATGTGCTCTCACTTGGAGATGAAGTGATGTCTGAGGGGATTCCCCACTGGAGTTTCTTTTCTTTTCTTTTTTTTAAGATTTTATTTACTTATTTTTAGAGAGGGAAGGGAGGGAGAAAGAGAGAGAGAATCATCAATGTGTGGTTGCTGGGGGCCGTGGCCTGCAACCCAGGCATGTGCCCTGACTGGGAATTGAACCTGTGACTCTTTGGTTCGCAGCCCGCACTCAATCCACTGAGCTACGCCAGCCAGGGTTGGAGTTTATTTTCTAAAAAGTAACAAAATATAATCAGAACAGAGAACACACTACTCTACAGATGACTGCACACTTGCACTCAGAAAAGTCCCCAGTGTCTCAACTCGGGTCATGGTATGATGTGTTCTTACCCTCCATGCTGAGAGGAGACCTGAGTGACCTTCAGCCAATTCAATGCCCCACCTCTTTTCTTCCCCGCACTAGCCGCTCCCTCTGCTTGGATCCTCTGCCCGCAGGTATTTTTGTAAATGTTATCTCCAGAGAGAGCCCTTCCCAGACCACGTGCTATACCGCACGTCCCCTCACACTGATCCCTAGGCACTTTTCATGGATTAGTTTTCCCCAAAGCACTAACCCCTGTGTAGTGTTATGCACATGCAAGTACGTGTGCTTGGGTTTTCCTCCATTATTGGTCAGCTCCTCAAGAGCAGTGATTCTCACCCTCATATTAATCTGTATTTCCAGGTCCCAGGACCTGTGTGCCACAGAGTAGGATCTTGCCCGACAATTCACTGAAATAATGAACGAATGTGTCCGGCCTAAATGGTATGGCTTGGTGGGTTGGGTGTTGTCTCACAAACTGAAAGGTTGTAAGTTAGATTTCCAGTCAGGGAACACGGCAGGGTTGTGGGCCAGTTAGGGGTGTGCCTTAGATAACCGATTAATATTTCCTTTGCACATTGGTTTTTCTTTCTACATACTTTCCACTCTCTGTAAAAATAAATAAAATCTTGCTTAAAAAGATTTTATTTATATATTTGTTTCTTTTCAGAAAAGGCGAAGGGAGGGCAGGAGAGGGAGAGAAACATCAATGTGTGGTTGCCTCTCACTTGCTCTATATTGGGGACCTGGCCTGAAACCCAGGCATGTGCCCTGACTGGGAATCAAACTGGCAACCCTTTGGTTTACAGGATGGCACTCAATCCCCTCAGTCACACCAGCCAGGGCAAAAATCTTTAAAAAATAATGAATGCCTATAAACAAAAACGTTTTATTTAGAAGCATGGAGGAAAATTAAGAAGAAACAGCTATAAAAGTGTCAGAAAAACTGCCTTGGTGAGAGAACTGGTTAGTGCTTGAAAAAATTTTTTTTTGCTTCTCAGTATTTTAGTACTAGATTTGGTTGTGTATTTTGTTCATGAAATATTTTAAAAATAAAAAATATAAAAAATTTGCCTAAGAGTCAAAGGCATATGAATGCATTGTGAATTTCTAAAACATCTGAGTTGAAACTTTACTGACTTTAGAGTGGATTTTACTCTACTTGGGAGTTGGGTCATGAATATTTCTATGGAGAATTCTTTCTTTTCTTTCTATTTTGAAGAACAGTGGTACCCACCTCTCCTGGCCATGAGCTCTGTCTTCCACTTGCTGCCCCACTTGCTGCCCAGCTCCTGGCCATACTCATCCCCAAACCAGACCAGCAGCTCACAGCCTGGCCTGACGACCCGGCAGGTTCGGTAGAAAATCTGCTTGTGGTATTGAAAGGCCACCAGGTTCTGCTCTTCATCATCCCGGGCACAGTTCACATACCTGGGATTGAGGCAGAGGAAGGGAAAGAAAACCACAGTGATGAGTTCCCAGTACCTGTTACATCCATGCCCAGCTCCTCACTGATTCTTAAGGTCGTCAGGTTCTGGTGTTGCCCACTGCCCCTCATGTTCCCAGGGAACCTTCTGTTCAGTCTCTGAGCATCCGTCAGCATGTCATGTGAATTCCTGCCTCCAAGTCCTGCTTGCAGTGCAAATGCTGCCTAGCACCATTTTCTAAAACCCAGCTCTAGATTTAACCTCCACCCTGACTGGCCATAATATCCAGTGATCTCTGGTTTCTACAAACTCTAAATTGAGTTGTCTTACACCACAGAGCCTGGTGCTTGATCTAGGGCTCTGCTTCTAAATTAGCTCACCAATTATCCAGTTCTCAGCCCATATCTATTTTCTCTTTCGAGGACTTTCTCCACCCCCTTACACTTTGTTTAGAGTACCATTAACTGGGCTGGCCCGAGGTGACCATAGAAAATTGCAGGTCTTTTTGTCTTAGTAAAATAAAACAGACAGTAGTCGTTGACTCACATTCTGTTATCCCTGATAAAAGAGAGCCCCTCTCAGGAAAGGGGCCCATGACTGTTCCTCTGCAGGACTCAGAGCCCAGCTCTAGTTAGAAGGCAGGCTGGGATGGTTTGCTGCCCTCACAGGTTCAGGCCATCCTTGGTTTGTGGTATCTTGACACGGTGCACTTCTTGGAAATTATAGTTAAATGCTTTTAAAAGCAATTTTTTTATGGCTGTCTGCAAGAAGTCCACCATAAGGACACGGGTTGTGTGATCTCTGTAAGTAATGAATTCCTTCATGTACACCGGAATAAAATAAATGTTCAATTAATGCTCATTTGATAAGTTAAAGTGTAATCCAGTGTCCCTGGTGAATCGAGGCTCTTCAAGGTCCTTTCCAGTTCCCATATTGTGTCTAGCAGAGAGCTTTATGTTTTGAGGATGTATGCTATACTTTTTCCCTAAGTGTCCCCTGAAATGAAAGAACACTGTATGGAGAAAAAGAGGAAAAAAGGATTAAGGGAGACCACTGACGGAGGCATGATGAGAGGGAAAGCTATATGGGCTTGTGGGGGATGAGAGTCCCCTCTGGCGCCCAGAGACCTGTTGACCTCACCTCATCCAGTTGGCCCAGGATCTGTCCTTTCCATCCACATACTCATAGCAGTTTCTCCCTTTGGCGATCTGTTTCAGAAAAGAAGTTAAAGACTTCTTATTCTTTTTGTGGGGAGGTAATAGTCAGAAGAATTATTTTATTCTACTGTCATCAAAGCTCTTCCATCGTGCATGGGGATTCAACTGCCAGTTGTGACCACATGATATTGGTCTTATTCATCGTCTACACATCTGAGTCTACCTGTCCAATCAGAGCAGGAGCCCCACAAGGGAGGAGCCACTCTTTTGTGTCTGCACCACTTTGCTCCCGCTCACCTTCTGATCCTTAAACTGGAGCTCTGTGTTCATGTAAAGTCCAGTCAGTACACAGAGCTAACCATATTGTCCCCTCCATGTCTAGCACATAAAAGGAGAGGTCCCTCCAAGCCTCAGAAGGAATGTGGGAAGGCAGAGGACAGTGGAAGAGGTAAACAGTTCTCACCAGCCAGGAGTATCTGCTCTTGGCTGCGACTTCATCTTCTGTGATGTGTCCTTCATAAGGGCCAAAGTGCAGACCCACTGGCAAGTCAGCTGCCTCATTCCACACTCCAAGCCCAGCCTCAGGGATGCCCGATGGCCCGATTCTCAACCCAGGGGGCAGGGTGAGGGCTGAGCGGTGGGGATGCCCCTTGTCCACTGCAGTGTCCTTTACAAATGTAGGGGGCCCATGCACAGCACAGCTGTTGATGAAGAAGTTCTGACACTTCTCACAATCTGGAGGTGAGAGCAACAGGGGTTAGGGAAGGTTTAGCGCATGTTCCTGGACACAAAGAGCTTCAGAGGGAGTCCCACAGTCACATCATTGAGACTCAATCCTGTACTCCAGGTCAGTAGAGGAAGGGAATGATTTGGGGACCAAAGGACTAGATGAAATTATTGTATCATAACATGCTTCTTAGTGAAGGTCACTTACAAAGGTAGTCATCATCCTGGGGCTTGTTGACCTCTTGGTACACATGGCCCTTTCTTTCTTGTAGGATGTACACCTTCATGTCCATCTCCTTTCTCCCGAGTTCTAAGTTGGAGAAGGCCAGGTAAGTAAGCGAGGTTGGTGTGGTGTGGAGTGTTAGTTCTCATTTTGTCAGATAACACAATCTCCTCCCATCAAATTATTACCTGTCCTTTTGCATACTCTGGTATGTTACTCCATTAACTATTGGTTCAAAAGACTAAGACTCTAACTACAGATGACTGATTCAATTTTAGTTTCTAGATTTTCCCATTACCAGCCAATCTTTCCCATTTTACTTGCCAGTCTTTAATCAATCATAAAATATTTATGGATGCACATTACGTGTTAGGCATTGAGTAAAGGCCTGGGCACACAACACCAATAAAGTGTGGTTGCTATTATCACAGATGGATTTACTGGACAACTTGTGTCACCTGTTTTAAATTCAATTTAATGTTTTCAAACAATATATGAGTGATGTTTCCTTATCTTCACTTTACATATTAGCATTCAGGAGCTCAGAGAATTTATAGGATTTTCCCAAAGGTCCAGTAGTAACTTCATTCTTCAGCTTATCCCAGCTTAAATCTAGGCCTACCCAAAGTCTACCCCACATACCTAGGTCATACTTATCAGCCCTTCTATAGGACTTAGAGAAACTAAAGCTTCCAAATTATTTTCTCTTACCCAATTTTTGTCTAGTGTGCTTTTCAAAGGCACATGCTTCTCCAGGAGGGGACACTGGTTTCTGGGCATGCTCTGAGTCACTTGCAGTCATCCAATTTGCTGTTCCTGACAATTCCTTCAAACTATATTCCTTGCTTAATGGCACCCTGGATGTTGCCTTCAATGTAAGAGTCACATATTAAAAGATAACATGTATTTAATGTTTTAAGGCTTATTATATATCTTACATGCATGTCTTTAATACTTCAACCCTTGGAAATATCTAGGGAGTATGAATATTAGAGGGTTGGGGCCAATGTGGGTAATGAATCCAAGATTAGAACTCATGCCTTATGGCTCCTTCTTTCAACTGTCTCTATAATATTGAGAGTGAGGGATGTGGGGAAGAGAATACAGAAATAGTTGGCAGAAACATATCTAGACAATAAATAAAATGGTGATAAAGTTTGCAATACCTTGGAAAGAATATTTGTACTTAGATTAGCTGGTTCCCACCAATTGTTTGAATAAGGCTGTGCCAGTAGCTGTCTTTAGTGTCCTGATATATAACATGTCAATTTTTAATGTTATAGTGAACATGCAATTAAATAATTTTCAACAAAGTGTCCTGTGAATTATGTAATACAGCATGAATGTTCTGCTATCAATGTACCCCTCAGCTCTCTCCATATTCCAATCTCACAGAAATTACCTTCAGCGTTCATTAGTCATCTTCTAGTTTATTTTGTAATCGTGAAATCATTCATTCAGCTAACATTCGGGGGCCCTCAGGACCCCTGATCTGGGCCTGAGTCCTCTGAGATGGACCAGGCTCACAACACAGAGGTAGGTGGGCTGAACAAATGATTCTAAACAGGATGAGAATGGCCTCATTAGAGCTCAGACAAAGAAACTGTTACTTCACCCTATAAGAAAGGGCATTTGAAATAAGTTCCAGACAGATGAGTTTCTGTTGAGGAGTGTGTAATCTATATGAAGCCCTTAAGTCATTTATTATTTGTTGTTTCTCAATCATCAAACCTGAAGCTCCTCACGGGTGGGAGATGCTCTTTGATTAGAGTGGGAGGCTCTGATCCTGGATATTTTATATTCTTCACCTGGGGCCATCCACTGTATCAACTGCCTACACATTGTACGCTTTCCTTAGTCAGAGGGTCTTAGTGCATCTCTCACTTCAGCACAGCAGAGAAGAACTTTGGTTGAAACCGTCAGTCAGATGAATGATGTAATGACATGTATAAGACAATGTAAACTTTAGAAAACTATGAAAGTTTTATTTTTTAATTTAAAGATTTTGTTTATTTTTTTGAGAGAGGGGAAGGCAGGGAGAAAGAGGGAGAGAAACATTGATGTGAGAGTGTTGGGGGCCGCCCTGCCTGGTCTCAGGAAGCTGTAACCCGCCGTGACTTAGGCTGAGTGAAAGACCTCTGGACCAGGAGCCACTGAGGAGACAAAACTTATTTACCTGGCATGAACGGCAGTCAATGACGGGTAACAATTTTCTTGGATAAAGAATGAACCTAAGACAGACGCGTTCACGAAGGAATGACAGACACAAAACTCACGGGGCTGTGGAGATGAAGGGGGTGATCAGACATCGACCCCTGCCCCCCTCAGCTTTGTCAAAGCCTGAGTCCTTGTCCTTGGATGTGAGAAACCCAGGTCCCCTGGCTGCCTGTCTCCTGCCCCTCTCAGGCCTGCGGGGCGGTGCAGGCCAGACCAGAGACGGGGGACCCCTGGGGTGATCAGGCCCCGGACATAGAAGATGCAAGATCCTGTGAAGGTTTGCTGGAGGATGTTATTAACTTGGAATTTAAAGGCACAGGCAGGAAACCTTTGGAACCTGTAGCTCTTTCATATGTTAAAACCCCAAACCTTGTCCAGAATTTCAGCAGGAGTGCTGCCCCCACCTTTGTAAGGTGTTTACATCTTTTGACCTTTTCTGCCAGACTGTGAATCCACAAACTAAGTCTGTTTTTTCTCAATAAAAAACTGCTTGGGTGTGGACACAGGGCGCTCCCCACGTGAGGAGTGGCCATTCCGTCCCGATTCCCCCACAGGACCTAACTGTCTTTGTGTATGTTTTTAGCATGTTTTGACAAACATCTGCAGCTGAGATGGATACCTGCTGGATGGTATCTTCAACATGAGAGATGTTTCATTGATCAGTCACTTCTCACAAATACCCCCACTGGGAACCTGGCCCACAACCCAGGCATGCGCTCTGACCAGGAATCAAACGGGTGATCTTTCGCTTTCCAGGATGACACCCAACCAAGTCACACTGACCAGGGAAAAACTGAAAGTTTTAATGAGTTTGTAAGTGGTTTAGAGAAGAAACTATGGGTTAGACTGCACAACCACTGATACTGTGATCTTAGACATATAGTCAAACATTTCTCTATCTCTGAAAGATCACTTTCCTCATTGTAAATGGCGACAGTTACAGTACCTTCCTCATCAGGTGGTTGTATGTGTGAGTGAGTTAATTCACATAGAATTCTTAAAGTCTGAAACATTGTGAGAATGAAACAAATGGTAGTTACTATTGCTGCTGTAGTTGTTAACTATTAAGATGATGATGAGCCCTGGCTGCTGTGGCTCAGTGGACTGAGTGCTGGCCTGCAGACTGAAAGGTCACCAGTTCCATTCCCGGTCAGGGCACATGCCTGGGTTGTGTGAGGGGCAACCTATTCATGTTTCTCTCCCTTTCTTTCTCCTTCTATTCCTCTGTCTCGAAAAAAATCGATAGATAAAATCTTTAAAAAGGGATGATAATGTCTGAGAGTGTGTAGAAGAGACCAGGAAAGGAAGGCGGCAGTTCCTAGGATACTCTCTGCATTTCCCTGCTCTTACCTGCATTTCTATCCGTGAGGAAAATTTTGTTATCAACAGAATTTGGGAAATACTCACCTTCTGGTGTTTACTGTGTTCTCTTCTGAAGGCCACCCAAGGTTTCACTGAAAGATGACGAGAAATCAGTGTTTTGGTTGGTAAATGTTTCCAGAATCTGGAGATTCTTACTAGGGACACAGAATTGTGAATGAGAGTGTGGCAGGAAAAGAAAACCCCATGAAAAAGCTTCTATGCTCTGCAGCTTCTTTGATAAGCAGTGCTCTCTGTAATACCTGCAGAATTTCACAGTGCCTTGTTTTAACGTGACAGGACATAGCTGAGCAGTAGCTATTCTTAGGTAGGAGCTGACCCGCAGCCGTTCCCACGGCAACAGTTATCTCAAGGCCAAAGCACTAACCTTCGCTTCTGCTTCTGCATGCTTGCGCGTCACAGTTGTTTACCCCCTCCCTTTTTGCCTTGTAACAAGTATTTAAAGGGAACTCCAGCTTAGGCTCTTTGCTCAGAATTTGGGTAGTTAACCCCTCTGAGTGCGCACGTAATAAAAGTTTGTGCCTCACCATCTTTCCCGAGTGTGAGTTATTTTCCGTAACAAGAGTAGTCCAAGAACAATCCCAGGAAGATTGGAAAATGTTTTCTGTTGTTCATTAAAGCCTAGGCTTCTATTGGGGCCATCCACTAATCTCATTAGAATGATAAAAAAATAGACAAAGTGTCATCCACGCTTCACCCTTTGTTCATAAACCATCTATTGCATTTATTAAAGAAGAAATTGGCCTCTCCTGACAAAAAAGTGGTAGAAGTAACTGCACAGAAACTCCATGTCTTCCACATAACCCTTTCTCCGTCCTGTTGTCTTCATTCACACTGGCCTTGTCCCGGGCTGAGGGCACCTCGACCACCCGGCCTCCTTTCTCTGGTATCCTCCCCGCCGGGCACATACCGGCCACCCACGCCCTTCCTCAGTCATTAGACTCTGGTCAGCACCCACAGTGTGTGCTGACCCCAGAAACAGAATTCCAGTGAAGCTGAAGATCACATGTTGACCTCAGCCGTGTGTCAACCCCAGACCCATGAAAGTGGACCGACCCCACCCTCCGAACACTCATGATACTGGACAGAACATGGGGCCGACGTCAGGAAACCACACGGTGACCAACCCCTCCCGACCCTGGCCCTCCCCCACTCCCGTCATCACCAGGGTTAACACTGTCCCCGCCCGTCTGTCTCCATGCGGGCCACCGCGCGGCCAGGTGTGGGGCCCTCCTCACCGGCCAGACCCGCCTCCCTCTCTTGCGATGACGACCCTTCTGAATTAGTTACTTCTCGCTCACTTTATGTTCTTACACATTCACTGCTTACTAATGTGTCTGTAAATACATATGATTACGTCGCCCACGTGAAAGTTGACGGGAACAGCCCCTCACTCTGCGACACACTGCTGTGCCTCTTGCTCGTCCGCTGCACCAGCAAACCTGTTCCCTGGTGACGTCCTGAGACGCCGCCCGACCCACACCAGGTCCGAGCCGGGAGGGCAGCGCTGGCTCCTCCCGCCGCTCACCGTGCTGCCTCGGGGCCCGCTCTTCATCCGAGTCCTCAGAGTCGTCCTCCTCCTGGAGCTCGGTGGCCCGCCTGCCTGCGGCGGTGACCCAGGAAAGCCGGTCGTGGGCCCTGAGACCTGGGAAGAGACAAGACCTCTGTCCTGAGGCAGAGAGCGTGGGGGAGGGACAAGCCCAGGAAGCCCGTGGGACTGGCTCCGATGGGACGGCAGAGTCTGCAGCGAGTTGCCGTGAGCCCCGCACCCTCGTCAGCGCCGGCCCCGCTCTGACTGAAGGAGCAAACTCCCTGCGACCCCTGTCCGTGCGGGAGGGAGCTGCAGGCGGGTGGAGCCCCCTGAGCCGGGCCCAGCCCAGCGCTTGCCGGGTCTCCAGGCCCCCGGGCCCGGCGCCTGCACACGCGCTACCTGGGCTGCAGAGCGCGTCCGAGTTCCTCTTCACACTCCAGTACCGGCTTCTCTCCCCGAGGGCAGGGCGCCGGGAGAGGGGGACGGAGGGGCTGGGTGGGCCGGGCCCGAGCCGCCTGCGGGGGCGCCCTGGTTCCCGCCCCTCCCCCTGCGCGCCGCCTCAGCGCGGGCTCCGGAGGCTGCGACCTGGGGCGTCTGAGGAGCCCGTGGGGGGGTAGGGGGGGTAGGGGGGTAGGGGGGGGCGGGCCTGTGGCGGCGCAGGAACCGCGCTTCTCCCGGGGAAGGGCCCGGAGGCGCCCCGGGGTCCGGAGAAGCCCGCGCGAGGCGCAGGCGCAGTGTCCGGCACTCCGCCGTCTCTCGGGCTGAGAGGCCCGGGGTCCCTCAGGACCCGATCTGCGTCTTCCGGGCGGAGGACACTCAGCGTCGCGGGGGAGAGGGTCGGACCGCCGCGGCTGAGGGGGGTTGGGGCGTCTCACGAGGGGCTGCCGGGTCCCCTCCACTGAGTCGGTTTCCAGGACGACGGCATTCGGGGTCTCTGGGTTTGGGGAGATTTGGACTTTCCGGGTGGGCGAGCTGCAGGAAGGGCGCCCCGAGCCGAGGGGACCTGGGGTTCCAGGCTGTTTGGGGGTCTGAGCGTTGGGGGTCAGGAGACGTGGGGTCCTCCGGGTTAGCGGACGCGCCCCTCGGTGCTGAAGGGGTTTGGGCCCCTCGGGATGAGGGCATCTGGGGTCTCTCTGGCCGGGCTTGGAAGGTCTCGGGCTGAGGGTTCCCCAGGGCAGGGCCCCCGCTTACCGGTCCGTCTCCCCGGGGCCCCCGCCGCGCTGCCCACCTCGGCCGAGTGTCCTCTCGGAGCTCCCGGGCTTCCCGCCCTCGGGAGGGGGTGCCACGGTAGCTCAGTTGGTCGCAGTGTCCTGCCTGCACGCCAAGGTGGTCAGTTCGTTCTCCGGTCCGGGTGTGGCAGGAAAGGAAACTGCTCTCCGAAACACTGGCAGGTTTTGTGGGACAAAAGCTGAGTAAGAGCTATTTTTAGGTCAGGAGCCGGCTGGCAGTCGTTGCTAAGTAACGGTATCTGCAGTTCCCTGACCTCGCCCCTGCTTCTGAATGCTCCTGTGTGACTGGTGCACAAAAAGGACCCCCAACCCAGCCTTTTCGGCCCAGGATTTGTGAATTAACCCCCCTTGAGCCCCGCGGGCGCGCGTAATAAAGTTTGTGCTTCGTTATCTCCCGAGTGTGGGTGGATTTCCCGCAACAAGGGCACCTACAAGAAGCAACCAATGAGTGAATACATAAGGGGAACACCTCAGTCTCTCTCTCTCTTTCAAATTAACACATGAAATGAAAAGAAAAGTATTAAAAATTTCCCCTAGGTATGCTTCCCTGTGCATGAAATGAAGTATGTTCCATGTATTTTATCCAACACATATAATAACAGATATAAAGTTTTCAGTAGAAGAGAAATTGTTAAATTATGGTTTGCTCACACTGTTGAGGCAGGAGACGGCATAGAAAGAACTCTGAGACTGCAATGCTGTCACTGGCCAGCATTTATCAGCCTGGTTGCCAGGAAACACCTTTTACCAATTAGGTAGAATAAATAGTAAACTGAGGCAGGGAGGAGGAAGGAGACAAGTCTCACATACTAATTCAGCAGTCCTGAGCCTGTTCTGATAATATTGCCAAGTGTTTCAATATCACAAGAAACACTATGTTAGCAAGAAAGAAAGTCCTTGAAGTTCTGTGTAACATTTCCACTATCTGGGAAAGAAGCCTTGATACTGTGCTTTCATCCCAAGGCCTGAATGTGGGAGAGGGTCCCCGGTGCCCAAAGAAAGAGCCCATAAAACAACTTTGGTTAATTGCCTACCTCTGGTCACTATCTGTTTTACGAGGGAGTCCCTGATGCTTACAGAAAGAGTCCATAAGTAACCTTGGAAAGTGCCCCAATTTTAATTAACTGCCCCCTGTCACATATTTGTTTTACAATAAGGTGAAAAAAATGGGATCTGGAGCAAGATAAGAATTGGGGCTAACAGACCCCCACACATACCTAAGTGTGGGTAGTCACATTCCCCCGGGAAAGCTGGCACCGCATTTACCCGTTAATCAGTTAGTAACTTTTTTTCCTCCCATCCCACCAACTATATAAGTCTTCAGAACAAAGCGATCTCTCTCTCTCTCTCCCTCTCTCTCTCCCTCTCTCTCTCCCTCTCTCTCTCTCTCTCTCTCTCTCTCTCTCTCTCTCTCTCTCTCTCTCTCTCTCGGTTGGGGTGCTCTTGGCTTTGAGGCCACAAGGCTTCTTCTGGCCACCTGGCATCAGGCTGCCCAGGGGCTTGCCACCCTGGTCTTCAGCCGCTCTTGCTTTTGTTCTCTTGCTTTTCCCTGAACGTTGCCTTTCACTCCCTACTCTATCCAGTCCTGTTCTCTTCCATGGTAACGGGCCACTAATAAACTGATTACATACTACTAGATTTGCTGATATATAATTCTTTACATGCGTCAGCAAGAAGAACCAGGTCTCTTCCATCAACAACACTGTGTATCAGCTCAGTAGTGCTGTTGCTTCTTTACGTAGCATCAGGGCTGTGAGAAGGCCCTGAGGTGAGGCAGCCCTGGGCAACTCCCTCTGCTGCTGTGCTGCTTAGGGCTTCTCTGCTCATCTATAGGACTGCTGGTGTAGACCTTCATTCCCTCTTTGCTCATGAAGAAGTGAAAACTGGAAAAGGAGCCCTCCTGAACAATGAGATCAGGCTGGGCAAGTAAAGAAAAGGCCTCTGGTGTTGTCACTACAACAAACTAGATTATTATTATTTTTAAATTATGCTGTGTTTTCCTGTAGTACTTTTTAAGCCCAAACTGAGACGGCCTTTTTGTTGTTGCTGCTTACTTAAATTATATATAAAAATAAAAATAATTGAAAATCCTACCCAAACAGGTAATATCTGCTGTTATATTTTGGCAGGAAAAGAAAGCCCCATAAAAGTTTCTATGCTCTGTAGCTTCTTTGATAAACAGTGCTGTCTGTAACACCTGCAAGATTTATCGGGACAAAGCTGAGTAAAAGTTATTTTTAGATTAGTAACTGGGCAGCTGTTACCAAGGTAACGGTTATCTCAAGGCCAAAATACTGACCTTCATTTTGTTTCTGCTTCTGTATGCTTGCTTGGTTTAGCGGTTGAACCCCCCCCCCTTTTTGCCTTGTAACAAGTATTTAAAGGAAACTTCAGCTTGCCTCGTTGCTCAGAGACTTTGGGGAATTTAACCCCTCTGAGCCCCCCGGGTAATAAAGTTTGTGCTTTGTTTTCTTCCCAAGTGTGGGTGATTTTCCACAACAATATTAAGTATATATGCTTCTAAAGCAGGTGTGGGTTTGTGGGCTGGGATGGGTGGAGGAGGGCAAAAGGGAAGAGTTGGGAAAGTGTAATAGAATAACAATAAAAAATCATTTAATGAAACAAAGTGTATACCCTTTCAGATATCACTACTTGCATATTTCCATTTTTCCACTTTCTCTGGATTTAATTTATTATTCTGGGTCTGTAAGATGATGCAAAATTTGTGAATTTTCAGGCTCTGTCCCGAATGTGTGGATTTACCAATACATTTTTCCCAGAGTGTTTTTTATGTACTATTTTTATTACCATTCGTTTCAAATTATTTTTTAACTGCAATTGTAATTTAATTTGTGGGTTATTGTGGGTTATTTAGAAGCGTATTTTATAATTTTTAAATATAAGGACGTTCTAGTTATCTGTTATTACTGATTGCTAGATTAGGTGCAATGATAGCATGAAACTTTACATTGACCTCATTTACAATGAGGTCAAATGGAAAAAAAAGCTCCTATAGCGTGGTAGTCTGCTGCCATCTTGTGTTCATTTTTGGAATAACACTTTAGTGCAGGTCAGCAGGAAAAGTTGTGTCTAGTCCGTTGGTTCTTTGTGAATGTTGAATCCAATTTGCTGCTCATGGTGTTTCTTACACCCTTACTGAATTTTGTGAAGTGGTCTCTTCCTTCTGAAAGAGGTGTGCTCTATCTCTGATGAGAGAGGTTTGTTAAATCTGTTATGATTATAAAGTTTTCTTTGTGTCTCTGTTCTATACAATTTCAGTTTATGACATTAAGTACATGGTGAATTTGGATCTTCCGGGTAAATTAAGCTTTTTGAAGTGAAGCACTCATTATCTCTAGCCATGCTTTTTACCTCGAAGTCTACTGCATATTATTCTGTAATTTTCATGTGATTTATGTTTCTGATTAAAGCTACTTTTGCACCATCCTATGTATCTTTTCCCATTCTTTCTCTTTTGATCTTCTGTCAAAACATTTGATCCCCAATGTTTAAGGTAATTCATATTTTCTCCCAGTTTGTGTATTTTATTTGTATTATCCAAACAAGTTCTTTTTCAGAGTTATCTTTCATTTTATGAAGTATATGTTATTAATGTATTCTTCATTCAACTGCATGTCCACAAGTATACTTGATTCCTGGCTACTTTTGTTTAAATGGACCACTAAACATCAAACCTATGGATGAAGGGCGGGGTCTGTGTAAGGTCAAAGCTGGAACTGGGCTGGAGGTGAAAGGGGGCCAGAGATGGGGTGGGGCTGGGTGGGAGGCGAATTTAGGCTGGCCGGTGCGAAGGGCGGGGAGTTCCGGTGGAGAGACAAACAACTACACGGACTGGAGTATTGGCGCTGCGGGCGCCAGTCGCCATGGTAACGAGGTGACACTAACAGCCTAACGTGATGCAAGCAACACGGTCCAGGGGCAGGAGGTGAGCTGCGTCGGGGCTATGAGGTGAGGGGGTGGGGGGCAGAAAAAGGGCCCAGACTGGGGTACACATCTCAGGTCCCAGTTTAACTGACCACTTCCTGTGGGACCACTTTTCTATATTAATCTAGGTTATATTACATTTACAGACAACTTTGGTAAATGGGTATCATTGTGCGTTTTTTCTGAAATCCAAGAACATGATGATATTTTTCATTTTTTAAAATTTCTGTTATTGGGTAGCAATTTCCAATTTTCTTCACACAGATCCCATCTACTGTTAAGTTATTTCCAGGTTTTTTAAAAAACCTCTTTGGTTGGTATTGAGTCCAAATAAAATTATATCTGTAACTTAGTATCTCTACATATTTATTTCTGAATGTTATTTTCCTATAACTGCACTAAATTCTGTTTGTGATACTTTTCAGTTGATTCTCATGAGTTATGAAGGTAAACTTGCTCTCATGCAGTAATGATCATTACATGGTTGTAGAAAAATTCTCCTTGATAGTCATAAATATATTAATGACTAAATAAAAGAGTAACATCCTTCTTAGCATTTTAAATGAGTTTAGGGCCTGGAAGCACAGTGTTCTAGAAATCAGAAGTATTTTGTGACAGGAAAGGTGCCTCCGGGCAGGTAATCTGAAGAACACAAAATATAGCAAATGTCCACATTTTCAAAGAGGAAAACCTGAGATGGTGAAATCTGGAATCTAACAGAGTAAGACTCTTAGTTCTAAGGGACATTATGAATCAGTTATTAAACTGATATGTGAGCAATGGAAAGAAGCAGGGATCCTTAGAGGACTACTGTGTGTAATCACACTGTGATCTGGTCTCCTAAGTGGACAGATCTTCCTTTGCCTCCTGACTATTGCCTAGGACACTTCTTCCTGACATTTACAAGATGGCTTGTACTTTTTGTTCTTTCAGTTTCAGCTTCAGGCTTTCTGTTCCAAGAAAGGCAGCCTTTGAGATCTAGGATGCAAAAGGACATACTGTTTGTATTCTAATGAAGTCTTCATGATACAGAGTAGGGTTTGTCATTCTCAGTACTGTGGAGTTTTTGGTCCAGAGGATTCACTCTGGGGGAG